TTCAATTATGCGAACGTTTCATCAAGGAATCAATTTCATGATGAATTACCTGCTCTATTGCATTAGAAAGAACTAAATTGAGTTCTTCTGTGATGTCCTTAACATTTAGGATACCGGAATTTTCGGGACTTTGCATCGTTACCTGATAAACGCATGATGTCGCACCATATTTCTTCACGAAACGTTCCGTCACTTTTTTTAACGTAAAGCGTATTGGTTTCGTAGTGACCTCGGTTTCGATATGATCTGAACTTTTTAGATCATTATGTTTTTCAATTTTTCTTAATTATTGATTTAAAAGCTTCGATGCTTTTTTCTGCCATAGTATAATCTTTGACAGATCGCTTTTCTTTTTAGAAAGCTCTCTGTCTATTTTTCTTAGCACTCGTTGTGCCAATTTATTTTTGCGTATGGCTCTTAGTCGAACACTTTCTGCACGTGAATTTTGTCCTCTTTTCATCGTTGAACGGACGAATTCATCTATCGAATCTCAGCTCGTTTGCTCCCTTTATATAAGCCCACCCAAGTACAGTACATGCACAATGACCAAACGGTTGTAAAAATAACGGTAAAATATAACGACTTCACACTTAACGATATTGTATTCACACTTATAACGACTGCAAAAAATAACGGTAAAAAATACAACGATTTCACGCTAATGCTATTTTATTCACATACATGCAGTTATATAGTATAGTATAATGTGATCAAACAATAATGTTCAAAAGTTGTTGTTTTATTTTTTACTTATTATTGTTCTCTTCGTCGGAACTTTCCGATGTGATAGCAATACGCTTAAATTTTTCTTTTTTCTGTACATCTTTTGACTCTGCTTCGGGTTTTCCTCTTTTTTTTCTTTTGCACACATCATCGGCCCAATGAAAGAAGTGACACTTCTCGTCAAAGCTTGTGTCCTGACATCTAAAGTACGGCCTGCCCGGATTTGCAGCAGAATGGGATATCCATAGGCTCGACACACGCTGCGACACGTCGCATTCGCACAAGGGAAATTTGTTGGGTTTAAATTTCCCAGCCACATTCGTCTCGTATGCTTCCATCAACTCTTTATACCCCTCCTCAGGGCAAAATAGGGTGCATGTGGATTTCCCACATTTTAAGAAACCCCGTCCTGTTTTTGACGTGAATCTGCTAAGGCCACCGTCAATACAGAAGCAATTGTATGATTCAATCGATACCTTGTTGATATTACTTCAAGTTTTGATTGGCAATATAAAAATGCTATGCAAACACAGTGTAGATTCTGCTCTTTTATAGTGTATGAGATATTTTTGCATGATAATTATTATTATAAAATTATAAACTTTGGACCCATTAAAAGCAGTTGTGTGCAGGATCGTTGTGTTCACTATTTTTAAGGTTCATGATTAAAAATATTGAGTTGAGTATTGTGAAACACATTAGGTGACATGGGAAAAAATTTTATTGACATCGTTACTTGTTTGATTGCTGACTCGGAAGACATGTGCAAAAAATTAATGTTGATTCGTAGGTCATTATATTTTTTCAGTTCATAGCACTGAACACAGCATCACCACTAATGAAGTTGCGTAATTGCTCACTTGTTTTAATCCCCATCGTTAAAAATATTGAGTTCGATATTGTGAACACCTGAGGAAAACAATCTCATTGACGCCATTACTTATTCAAACGCATCCTATACATACATGTGCGTAATACGATCATCGAAAATAACTGTTCTTCATTTGATCAAAAGATCAGAAGGCATATGTGGGGGAAATTAATGTTGATTTGTAGAACATTTTTTTGTCACCAACACTGAATGCAATATCATCACTGAACAAGTTATTTCATTGCTACACCTCAAGATGATTAACTGAGAATCGCTAATCCTATATACAATATCACCACATGCACCTGAAGATGATTAACTGAGAATCGCTAATCCTATATACAATATCATCACTGATCAAGTTATTTAATTGCTACGCCTCACGGCGATTAACTGAGGATCACTAATCCTATTGTCCTTGTCTTGGCATGAGAGGAAAATATACTTAATGGTAGATTAAACATGTTTCTTATTTTATCTGCATTTATGTATAAATCAACACGGGTAAACCTTAGAATAATTCAAAAACATGAAAGTTCGATCGTCAGATCATGACAATGTTGAACATTCGTTATGCCATCATAAAGACCTTGCCAACGCTGAATACAATATCACTCATGAGTAAATTAATTATATTACTGTTTCCCGTATTTGTAAAGAAAACAATTTCCCCTCGTGAAACAATGATGAGATTTGTCTTCTCTGTGTTGACAGTAAAAAATCGTAAAGGTTTTTTTCTCACCCTGTTCAAATTGAAACCAGAATTTAAAAGAACTACATTTTCCACAGCATAACCTATAAACCAAATAATTATTCACTTATTAAACTTCCCCACCTTTTAGCAATGTTGATTCATTCCGAGTAAATAATAATATAATTATTATTCCATTAAACACATCATGCTTTTCCCTCTGGTATTAACACATCGTCAACTACCCACGTTTTTTTCCCTTGCTCCATTCTTCTATTAACCTTCAAAACGACGCTCATCAGTATGCAAACACATGTAGACAAAGCATACAAAAAGGGGACTTTCTAAAGTCAAAAGTATAGATGTTGTTGAACAGAGTCGAGAACAGAAAACAGTTAACAAACATGGACTCAAAGTTTGGTATGTGCTCTTATTTTTTTCTTCTTTTTTCTACAAATTAACCTAGTCGTATTTCTATGATTGTTAACCTAAGTCCCAATGAATGAACGTTTCTTGTTTGTTTTTTCTTTGCAGAAACATGCAACGACTGTAAAACGTTTACGATAAAAATGAAATGTGGGTGCAAAGCCCACATTTCAGATTTCCCAATTTTAATGGGCACGCACATAACATTTAAATGTCCACACTGTGGGTATGTAAAATCTATGTCTATATCTGCATGTATAAATCTTATCATTTTTGTTATTCACATCAATGATTCTTCATGATCTCACAATTACTATCTCTGCAGAACGAAAGCAGATGATGATGAATTCAAAAAATGGTGCAACGATGCACAATTTTGGATGGGGGTGTTGGAGTAAGTAGAAAAAATTAAACCACCTTTTCTTTGTTTATTAATCATACGCTCAATATTCTTTTCCTTCTTGTTTCCCCTTTATACTTATAATACCTTTCTCTTCCCTCCCCTGTAGTGTGATCAGTGCTTCGGCATTTTTGGTGGAGAAAAGTTAAAGTTAAAGTGAATAAATAATTTTTTATTAAAATATCGTGTGTCGTCTCTATGATTTCTAAGGGAAAAAACACTATATTAAACAACACAAAATCTTACAAAATTCCATTTTATTTCGAATCAAGTGTCAAACAACTACACATACAAAAATATTAAAGTTCTAGTCGTGTTTTCTTCTTTAACAACGTCCTACTTTGACACAAAATAATGTTCGCCAATCTTTCCATTTTATTTCAAATCAACTATCAAACAATTACCCATGCAAAAATATTACTGAAGTTCTAAAAACATTACTGAAGTTCTAGTCGTGTTTTCTTCTTTAACAATTGCATATTTTTGACACAAAATAATGTTCGCCAGTCTTTACATGTATATTTTAAAAGTTCAAGTCCGTTCACTTTTGGCTTAATATCTTGTAAACTTTTCATGAAGTTTTCTGCGATCGTCGCTTCACAAACCCTCTCCAATGCCTCGTCAAAGTACATACATATTTTTTCATCTGATTCCATCATCATACAATCATGCTGGTGTTGACTACAATGTTCAATTTCACAACCGCGGCATTTTTCAACAACAAGGTTTGCAATGATCGAAACAATTTCATTAACATAACACATTAAAAATTTTTCTTGAATGAGATTTTGGCGATAGCTGTAGAACATCTTTTCGTTACCAATGTCACTTGGTATGAGTAGTTTTGGGAAAGTTTTTCTTGAAGACATTTTTAAAACACACCTTGTCTGTTCGACAATCAAAGCAACACTGATAAACTCTATAGGTTCGAATGAGTGTTCACATATTTTCAATTTCAAAATTAACATACCCTGATTTACAGGTTGTCCAGGTTTTAAAAATTGCTTAACTTACAGCATGAAGGGTACGTCTCGAGTGAGTCCCTCTTCTCGGGTACCCATTCGAAGTAATTGCACGATTCGTCTTTTCCCATTGAACAGGTGTAAAACAGACAACCATGATTAGGCCCGTCTTTTTTAACTTTTCGTACAAAACATTGCACACCATGATAACAATTAGGTTTCAAAACGTCACCCCATTGCCAGAATGAACAACGACTTCCCTTCACCGAACAGATAAAAAATGGTCGACCAAAATTGGGTTTTAAAATATCTTTCACGACTTTCATTTTACACAACCTCTTATGCACATGACATTGCGGCTGAGGACAATTTGAAATTTTCCACAGATTTATAGCATTTTGAAAATAGCTGCAGTCACTCTGAGGGCAAAAGAAATTACAACTTGGCCTTTGGCCACAGTAAAAAAAAGTTCCATTTGACGTTTGTGAACAAGACGCAGGCTTTCCGTGTAAACATTCCATCGTTTTAAAGTTCTGATAAGTGTAATGTAAAATGAACGCTCTTTTATATCTTCAAATTGAAAACCGGTTGGACAAATACATTTCAGGTTTATAGGAACAGGTTGAAAAAACCGCTACAATTTTCTCTCACGCAAAAAGAACTGATCGGTCGTTGCTTCACAAGGGGAAATTGTATTATGTACAAATGATAGTACAGGACGCGCACTAATATAATTAATGTACTCATGTGTGATTTAAGCAAGGGGGAAATAACAAACACCTACACAGGGGAAATGTTGCATTAATCCTCACTCGGTAATAAAAAAACCTCATTAAGATGTCATTATCTAATCCCTTCCACTGTAAGCTATCGTTTTGAATATCAGTCTTGTTCAAATGTTTAAAGAGTACACACAGAACGTATGTCGTCCACAGCGTTAAAACAAGCTTCTCAAAATTGTTAAAACATGGCCGTCTCTAAATATATTCTTCAAAAATATAACTTCACCTAAACCTCACAATTAGATATTCCCCACAGTGTCGTAAATTGGATTATGGATTTTCTTACCGATAGATTCCAGAGAATTAAGCTGGGAAATTCCTGCTTTTCGTCGTGGGACTCTGTTCCATCAGGCGTCCCTCAGGGCACAAAATTAGGTCCCTGGTTGTTTATTATTTTAATAAACGACTTACATATATCTCAAAGGGATCTATGGAAGTATGTTGACGACTCAACAACATCTGAGATAGTCGGGAAAAACGGCATTAGTAAAGCTCAGAGCCTAGTAAACGAAATGTCTTGCTGGTCTGAAAAAAACAGGATGCAACTAAACTCAGAGAAATGCAAAGAACTGCGCATTACGTTTTCCGCAAATCCCATTGATCTGGATCCCTTGGTTCTTAATGGTAAAGAATTAGAAGTCGTGGAAAGTATAAAGCTGTTGGGTCTCACTATAAACAGTAAATTGGAATGGAATGAGCACATCGCGGTTGTGGTTAAGAAAGTGAATAAAAGATTATACTTTCTCTCACAATTAAAACGTGCCAAAGTGAAATCGAAAGATTTAGCATTGTTTTACTCTTCATGTATCAGATCTGTTGTTGATTATGCAATACCAGTATTCTATCACTCATTACCACAATATTTAAAGAATGAACTGATACGGTTGGAGAAAAGGGCAATTGCGATAATTATGCCCGATACGCATTACCTTGATGCTCTCGGATTGTTAAACATTAAATCCATGGAAAATCATCACGAATATTTATGTGACACTTTGTTCCAATCTGTAATGTCCGATGAAAATCACAAGATTCGTCATTTATTGCCTGGAAGATATGATCCAGGCTATCTTTTAAGGAATGTAAATAATTTTAACTTGCCTCTAATTAAAACTGAAAGGACCAAAAACTCTTTTATCTTTGCTATGTGCAACAGATTCAATAATAAAATTAAATAGGTTTAGGTCTACCTGACTTTTAGATTTTAACTGAATTTTATTCTGCTTTTTAAACTTTTTGATGTAAGTAATATCAGTAGTATCATAATTAATTTTAATACAAAGGTTGTAATCATTACGTAATTCAGCTTTTGCTGCAAAGTAATTTGAATAAACCTCTATTCTATTCTAACCGAAAGGTACAATCCAGGTAAAATTGCACGGATTTTGACTTCGAGTTGTTATCAAAGGTAAAATATTTCTACCATGATAACATAAACCCGTTCTCAACCAGATATTTCGATTTGCGACGTATTCAATTAATATTCATACATTCTCAACCCGTCATTTCCCATTAGTGACCTATTTCAATTAACATGCGCACGCATATCCCTCACACGACCGGACTGGAAACTAATTGACACAGTTCAGAGCTCCCGCTACTTCCAGGAACATACCCACAGGTTAACTACTAACCGCTACATGCCCGAGATGAACAGATTCAAGCGCTACCGGATGAGAAAAAGAGAGAAGGAAGAAGAGAGAAACGCGGAGCTGGAGAGGCTTCGCGAGTTCTACCAGTATGTATTTGAGAGACATGCTGAAATACCGGTAGAATTCAACAATCAGCATCTACCTGAAATGGATGAAGATCTGGAACGCTTTTGGGCAAATATTAAGATGATCACCTATGAATAATTGGCATGATCATTTTTAAATAATTTTGCCTCATTAAAAAATGATATGTCTCATTATTATGCGCATAAAAGGGATGTATTAAGCGCATGATATTACCACTAACTCGTGTAAACCAATGTACAAATCAAGTATGAATGACAGAAGCACTTTTTCAAAACAATATAACAATTAACTCAAATCAAACTCTAAAGTCAAAAGTATAGATGTTGTTGAACAGATCGAACAAACATGGAATCAAAGTTTGGTATGTGCTCATATTTTTTTCTTCTTTTTTCTAAAAATTAACCCAGTCTTATTTCTATGTTTGTTAACCAAAGTCCCTATGAATGAACGTTTCTTGTTTGTTTTTTCTTTGCAGAAACATGCAACGACTGTAAAACGTTCACAGTAAAAATGAAATGTGGGTGCAAAGCCCACATTTCAGATTTGCCTATTTTACTGGGCACGCGGATGATGTCCACACTGTGGGTATTTAAAATCTATGTCTATATCTGTATAAATCTTATCATTATTGTTATTCACATCAATGATTCTTCATGATCTCACAATTACTATCTCTGCAGAACGCCTGCAGATGATGAATTCATAAAATGGTGCAACGATGCACAATTTTGGATGGGGGTGTTGGAGTAAGTAGAAAAAATTAAACCACCTTTTATTTGTTTATTAATCATACGCTCAATATTCTTTTCCTTCTCGTTTCCCCTTTATACTTATAATACCTTTCTCTTTTCTCCCCTGTAGTGTGATCAGTGCTTCGGCACTCTTGGTGGAGAAAAATTAAACTGAATAAATGTGGCCGTCTCTAAATATATTCTTCAAAAATATAACTTCACCTAAACCGAAAGGTACAATCCAGCTAAAATTGCACGGATTTTGACTTCGAATTGTTATCAAAGGTAAAATATTTCTACCATGATAACATAAACCCGTTCTCAACCAGATATTTCGATTTGCGACGTATTCAATTAATATTCATACTTTCTCAACCCGTCATTTCCTATTAGTGACGTATTTCAATTAACATGCACACGCATATCCCTCACACGACCGGACTGGAAACTAATTGACATGGTTCAGAGCTTCCGCTACTTCCGGGAACATACCCACAGGTTAACTACTAACCGCTACATGCCCGAGATGAACAGATTCAAGCGCTACCGGATGAGAAAAAGAGAGAAGGAAGAAGAGAGAAACGCGGAGCTGGAGAGGCTCCGCGAGTTCTACCAGTATGTCTTTGAGAGACATGCTGAAATACTGGTAGAATTCAACAATCAGCATCTACCTGAAATGAATGAAGATCTGGAGCACTTTTGGACAAATATTAAGATGATCACCTATGAATAATTAGCATGATCATTTTTAAATAATTTGCCTCATTAAAAAATTATGTCTCATTATTATGCGCATAAAAGGGATGTATTAAGCCCATGATATTACCACTAACTCGTGTAAACCAATGTACAAATCAAGTATGAATGTCAGAAGCACTTTTTTTAAAACAATATAACATTTAACTCAAATAAAAGAAAACAAAACAATCTAGTCTTATTACCATCGTTCATAACTTTAAATCCCTATGGGGATTTTTTGCACAAACGTGTGATCAGTGACAAATGTTCTCCGTTACATTAAAATGTTGGTGCGAAGCCGGCATTTCAGATTTGCCAATTTTAGTGGGAATCAACTTTCTTTACCTCATTTTTGTTTGGTGTATAGTTTAAATTGATGTTTATAATCGTTATATTATATATTTCGATGATTCTTCATGTAAGATAAACTTAGTATTACTCTTATATCTGCAGAAAACACGTTGATTATGAAACATTAATGTGTGCTAATGACGCCCAATTTTTGCTCGCCATTATAGAGTAAGTGGGAAGAAATACAAACAAACCTAATAAAAATTCAAATAGAAATACAAACAAACTTAATATGGAACTAATGTTTGCTATGTGGTTGTTAATTTTTCAAAAATTATCACTCTCGTTCGTAACCTTTTCATATAATTCTACATCCTTAGAAATTAGTATTACCGTTCTTTTTTTGCAGATACGTGCATGTGACCAGTGCGAAACTTTCTTGGTGAAATTGAAATGTGAGTGCAAAATCCAAGAATTTTTAAAAATCCCAATTTTGGAGGCAAACAAAATGCGCACGCTTATATACCATTATGCTTTACAAGTGTAGATTCTTTCGCTCCTAATTAAGCTAACTGTTCTCTAGAGATTAAATTCAGACTCATATTCAAACATTCGTTCAATCGCATATATGCAGAATAGCAGAAAACTGAAGAAATTTATAAGCAGGTAAACTGGAAAATAGATGTATAAAAAAGGGCAAGGTAAGAAAAAAAAAACCTGGAGCCTCATATTCGAAATGAACCACCCACTAAATGTGGAGAAGCCACACGAACCTTATAATTGCTCAGAGTTAAGCACAAGGTTTTGGAATAGAGGTCTAGAACTTCCCAATTTAGCATTAAGATAGGGGAACGTTCTACAGTGTGACTTGAGGCCAGACGCCGAGAGACAGAGGAAGCACTTTCTGGGATTGCCTGAATTACAAGTTAAACAATGTGTGTTAGGAGTGTGCTGTGACAATTCCAACATTCAGTTGCTCAAATATCTTTTCGTATTATCAATTGCCATTCCCTATAAGACGTCGTTTATTGGGATCTTCATCATCATTGTTTACATATTAACCAGTGTCTGTAAGGATGAATACTGTTTTGGACGAACTTAACTGAACACATCTTTTTACTGCGTTATCATTTCAGACATCTTGGGTACATCATTATCATCACATTCGAATTTCAAAATATACCAACATATTTTAGCTTTACCACAAATTACCTCCAAAATCTGTCTTTATATATGTTCGTATACACAAGAATACACATTGTCGATCGGCGATGGATAACCTGAAAAGCTGGTAACTGTTGATGGTGTTTTTAACATTAAGGGAGGAAGTCCATGTTGATCGGAATAAGCACTTTAGGTCGATGAAGTTTCTAGGGAGGATAGATCACCCGTTGGTTTAGCAGAGGGTTGTGTCATTGAGTGACAATATATCTTTCAGTTCAGAAATTTCTCTTGTTAAGAGTGAATGTCACTTGAACTCTAAGATTTCTTGACTATTTAATATTGTTTGATTCATCAACATATCTCCGCGACGTGGTGTCTCAGGGCCAGTCTATTAGTTGGGTATAATCTTTTTGAGGTTTAATAAACAGATAAACTGGTTTATCACAGAATTTGACTGACGTTTTCTTCTAATTGGCTTCCAATTCGTTTTGTTAAGTGTTTCAGAAACACCAAGCGTTCTAAATCAGTGTTTTTTAAGATGGTCGCAAAATCTTTCCACTTTACTATGAATTCTTTGCAATCCCGATGGTTTGTAGGGATATTCATTCCCTTTTCTTTATTTACTAACAGTGTAATCAGAAACTGCAATAATGCGATACGATTTCTCCAACCTTTTTCTACGACAGGATGTATAATAGTTTCTTTCATTCTCAACGTTATTATAAGAATGTTTTATAGGCCACGAAGTATTGAGCATTTCCTCCAACACAATTTAGGTTACAAACATTTGTCTTCTTAAGACAGATACTACCACAGTTCTTTGTCAAACACACACTTGTTACAGGACAAGAGAGGAAGGGACCCGAGTCAAGCAGAAGTTTCAGATATTGATACACAAACAAATATCCTGACAAATTGAATATAGGCGTGTACCAAAGGATGGACAAACAATACAATACGAACGTTAGTTACTAAAAGATAAACACGCCAATTATTTGATCTTAACGAAAGCAACGCACACAACATATAGTGGAAAAGAAAGTTATGCTCCGGGAAGGTTTATTTCCTAACAGATATTCAGGGAAAGATGAAACTGGAACTAATCAGATTTTTTATTTTTTTTCATGAAACTGTTTTGTTTTCAAAACACAATTTTGAAGTTAAGAATCTTGCACGAAAGTATCTACAATTGTAACGCAAAATATCGGTTGCATAATTTCATGGTTATCGGATATGTTTTCCCAAAAAGGTTATAAATATCTTTGTTTACATTGAGATGAATATTTCTGATGGATTAATCTAAATGAAAATGAATATCTAAGTCATCAAAGTCTCTAATAATCATTCGTTTATAGCTAATTTTAGCTTTCTATTAATTTGACTTTGACTTTAAGAATACCTCTGAGGCGCATAAATATAATACACATAATTTCTTTCTAAACCGAACAAGAATTACGGCAAGCTTACTTTCACCTATATTTGGAAGGATACGGACTGGAATACGCTCCCTCACGAGATGACTTTAGGATTTTCAAATTGAGACTTAAGAAATTCTTGTTTGTCTGATTTCCTTATATTGCATGTCTTTTTAATTTTCTACCTTAAACGTAGTTTAACATTCTAACTTTCACTATATATTTGTACATGTTTGTACTTTATTTTAATCCAGGACCCCGCTGAAAATCACTTTGTGAGTCGGGCGCCCTGAAAAAATATTGTCTTAATAATAACAATAATATTAATAAACAAGGCAGGTTTCACTATAGATAAACTAGTGGTTGTAATATCACAATTTTGCTGCTTAACAAATATCGCATATCTGATGAAGACAAGTCTCTCATTTCTGATGGTACCATTCGTTAAAAAGTCAGTTATGCTTTAAAAAAAATAAAATGCTCTTTCTTAGATTACTTCGAAGTTAGGAGTAATTCGCCTTTTTAAAAAAGATTTACACTTTATACATAAAACCTGAAATTGATAATCTTTTTTACCTTTATTGTGATATAATGAAGTCATCAATGGGGATATGGCTTAATCCCATGATAATGGGAGCCTGCATAGTTAACATTAATTTCTCCGCAATTCAAAATCATGCTTTAAGACAAGTTATCACATAATCACGTCATGCAGCACGTACGATATTCCTAGTAATACCAAGCAGTGTTTTTGCTCCAAAGGATTAGGCAGGCTGCATTTGAGAGAAAAATATATGAAATTCTGAATACAAGCGATCTGCTGAGCTCACCCTGATGTCTGAGTTTAATACCAATAGTATATGCATATAATGTGAGGAATTTTGCCGGATATCAATCGTTATGTTTTGGGTTAATTAATCGTTATTTCGCAGTAATACATATCGACAAGAGATATAAGTAATATTCAAAATAGTAAAAGTGTACCCTCGAAAAAAGGGGTTTTTGTGGTTGCTACCACACGGACATAAATTCATTTGAGAATGGTTGGAACCAATGGTTCCAATCATATCGCTTCACAACACAACAGTTTAAGAAACCAATTACTTTTAGGTTCAGTTTAAACCAAAAGCTTTGCGCTGCCCTAGGTCTATCGTATGCAGTTTTTAACTATTTGAAATCGTATTCGGCTTGACTTTGGACAAGTGCCTATCATAACACAGTCAATAGCTAGTTGCATGTGAAGGTAGTTAACGTCTAGAACTATACACACTTTTTACACAGTCATGCAATTGATTATCCAAAATCGAAAATTTTGGAGTTAATTATAGATCTCCGATTTGACTATATACGCAAAATATAGTTAAACGTTTTATGCAACTTCCCCCAAAGCCAAAGGTTTAACGATTTTATAACTAGATATTTGCGCCGAATGCTACTGTGAATTAAGCGGTACAATTAAAAAAGAAATAAAAAACAAATTACTTAACCATGACGCTGGATTTATCATCCCAAATATCGCAGCATGTTGTTCTACGTCACGATCTGCCTCACCTAAAATTGCACATTTTTATTGTTAAATTCCAAGTTCTAACATGTCCATCAAATCGCACTTTAAAAAATTGTCCCAAGTTTATTATCCTTGATTGTATTATTATATAGCCAATATACAGAGAGCAGAATGAAAGAGATGAAAACTGCGTGAATTAGGAAAACTTTTAACAACACGAATGTAAAGATTATCAGGTATAGCTTTTGAGGTATATACTGAGTTTATATCGAAGAAACAGAAAAATGGCACAAAACGCGGGAATAACGAGATTATTTATGATATTTATTTTAAATTCTAATTTTTTAATGAAGCATGCATTATCGGCATTGGGTTGAAATTATTTTATCCTAGCTTAATGTATAGCAGTTTCGCTGATTAAATGCATCATTAAGTGATAAATTCTTCAAGAATGGGTGTCAATCCTCGTGCTTTCAGCAATTGAGCACTGAAATATGTTTGGTGCCATTTTTAAAGATCAATCTCACGAATACTATATAGCTACTATCGGTATATACCTGCCCATTTTAACTTAATCTATGTAAAACGCATCAAAGACAAGGCAATTTTTTTCTGAAAAATTCCTATTTCTTGTGAACACTTTGCACAAAATTCTCCTCTTATCTCCTATGCCCGGGAGCAGAAGTACTAGAACCGATCCGCAATGACCGCTATCATCGGCTTTAATTTCTTACGATAATATATAATATATATTTCCATGACACGTGCAGGTCCGCAGACCCATCTCAACAATCAAGCATCGACACAGATTTTTAATGAATAATGTGTATAGTTAAATGTAAACATAAAACTTGAATATAGAACTTACCGAACTCAGTAGCTTGCGTCCTTTCATTGAACTTTTAATCTTTAACTTTTTAGTGTACCGAACGCCAATGCCAATCGTAGCACTACGAAACTGTAACGAACAAACATTTCGGTATGAAAATTTTGTAGCGATTATTAAATTGCTTTATACTCGAGAAAACTGCTCGCTGACCTTCTTATGTTCAAGTCAAGTTTCAAACAATGATATGGATCCAAATATATTAATGTTTGCTACTGCTCACAACTGCGGCACAGTGGCACAGCATAAAAACTTTTAAGTTTGTATCCCCACACATGCTCGAATACGGACCATTGTCCGCCTTTATATTGGCAAGTCATTAGCAGTCAATGACATGTTAATTAGCTATCGCTTTTTGGCCAAGCAAATCGCCTAAGTGGCTTGCTCTGCAATTACTTTGGCCGGACGATAGGATAAAATCAGGGAAACACGTAGTAAGCTTAGAAGCTTACAACAGTACCAGAAAATGTTAATAACATTAAATGCATGCAATATTACACAAAAAAATTACAAAAAAGTGTCAATCATCACGCTTTAAACAGTAAAATGTGCTTAGTGCCAGTTTCGAAGGCCAAAAATTATGATTTCATTTCAGTGTGAATCCATCGGTATTCCTGCATGTTTGGTTTAACTTAATCTTAGTGAAAACGGATCAAAGCAATCTGAGTTTCTCAATATCCTTTCTTCATGTATACAATATTTGCGATTTTTGAGTTGCTGATTTCCTGTGTGATCAATTATAGCACAAAGTTTTCCCTGTCCTGTCACCGATGCGCACATATTTGACACGTGCGGGGCCATACCCAGATTAACTATAAATTTTTTAACACGTTTATATGTATATACATATTAAATAAAACTTACCCAACTTAGTGGCTTTCTTCCTTTTATTAGGCTTTTAACGTCGATGCTAATATCATCACTCTACGACATTAGGCCAATGACAGCCGCAGCACCAATGGTACGATTTCGGTTAATTGTCAGTCGATACGAATTCACGACCGTTTGCCACGACTACATGGCTGAGAATGCTCAAATGTTGACAACTGCAGCACAGTATAAAGATCATACCAGTAGCCCACTCATATCGTAAACTTTTGTATCCCCACGCATACCGGATTACAGGCTTTTGTCCGCCTTCATTTTGGCCAGTCATTAGCAGCCAATGATATGTTAATTGTGTTTTTAATATACGTCAGTAGCGTCCTCACTTTATCCTAGACCTAGAAGATTACTTAAAAGCATATCCGGAATTAACAGAAATTAATGATTAACGACTGATTTCAACCACAAACTCATCATGCCGTTTCTTTCTCGCAGAGTACATTCACGAATTAATTCACATAAATTTGTTGTTAAAAAAATCTGCATAAAATGAATTTTGAAAACCGAAAATTTTCCCGCCAAAAATTGAACTTTTACCCAAGCGCGTTATGTTTCGTAACGTATGGAACAGAATAGGACGAGGCGGCTTGGGCCGCGCTTGTTACCAAACCTTTTTAACGCATCTTCTCTAGCCGCGTAGTGAACCGTAAACTCTCTATTAGCTGAGCTGAGCGTCGTTCCTGACTGTTGGCGTAAGCAAGTCCCTCTAGTGTACGCGGTGGCGTTTTGGATGGAACAACATTTGCATTTCTGCTTATGCTCGTGTGAACCAGGCTTAATTAAATGTCTGACATGAGCAATTTTATTCGTAATGACATTTAACAATTATTGGATGAGGTTGAGTGTGATATCGCGAGTTATCAAGCTGAGGCTAACGCAAACTGAGGCTTGATAATTCTCGATATCATGCGAAAACCGAATTTAATAATTGTTTTATTATGTATTTCCTTTTTGGAGAGGAAGCCTGCGCCATTATTGACAACAAACTAGCGGATGATTTTCAATGTCGCGTAGGTGGCAAGACATTGAGAATTATCTGTGGGTTTTTAGCCAATCACAATCGAGATTGCATTGAATAATGCATAATAATAAAATTTGTTTGTACCCACGAATGATTTTTTTAAATAATATTTACAATTTACAAATATGGATGACCATATTTAAATTCACAAAACAAGCGCCATGGCCATCGACATATCCCTCTTTTCCAGCAAATTTTAAATTTTGTATTTAGCATTTTAAAAGTCATTCAAATTGAAACAATAGGTGATTGCACTAGTTTCAATTTTTTAGGATACCCAGTGTATGTGGTATTTTCATCTGATATCTAACCTAAAATAAATATTAGATTTCTAGTATCAACCAGCGGGGATCAATCGGCTATCTTTAAAGCTGGTTATTTTTCCACTAGGCATTATTTTTCGCGCAAGCGACTTTATGCCTTTGTATTCATAGAGATTATAAATAACACTAGAGGAGGCATTGGTATCAAAAACATCAGTCGAAAAAGGGAGCGCGATAATGGGGGGCAAATTCAAGTCCCGGATGCTAAGCCAAGCGCTGATTGGCTAGATCAATGCCTCCTTAGCAACCACGTTAGCAACAATTTTAAAAAAATTATATTCGTTTTTCAGGTCGCTTTGCCGGTTTTTTAAGGAAAAACAGTGCTTTTTGAAACTGGTTCTACTAATTTAGACATCCTGAAACGATATTTTAGGCAAAAAAACTTTTAGAAATAAAAAAAACTCGTTAAAAACGACTTGTTTTGGCCTCGGACATCGTGAATGAGTGAACATCCGGGACTTTAATTTGCCCCCCATTAACGCGCTCCCCAATTTCTCCTCGATGACTCCTCTAGTTTTATTTATAATCTCTATGTTTGTATTTGTGTAATGTGTTCCAGGCGGAACAGGGAACTGGGAACGGGAAACCATTAATTAGAATTAACAGACCTTACCAGTACCATTTACTCATTTTAATTCAATGGCCTCATTTAATTAAAAAATAAATTATTTCAAGGTTTGAAGCTCAACTTGCATTTTTCTTATAACCCATCTTTACCTTATATCAGGCAGTTACACCTTATATTTGGCACAAGCCACTAAGCGTTTTCTGCGACAAATATTTTAATACAAAGTAATGTTGAATTTCCTTGATAACACACACAGAACTAGATCCAGTTATTACCTATACATATTACATACACAATACACTTGATTCATTTCATAGTTCATACTGGTCAGCTCTTATTAATGTGATCAATATTTAAATTCTTGCATAAGACAATTTTAACCAAACTGATATATAGGACAGACAATGACCATTATTTTAAAACCTATTCCTTTCGAATTTATTAATTGCAATCTACTTCTAAAAAAAGCCATTGTCTATGGAAATCCTTTTAGAGAAGTAATAATATTAACGCACACGCTATACGCACATGCTATTTTTTCAACCGCTCAAAAAGAAATGCGAATTGTATGTGACTTTTTCCTCGACGAATCCGACAAATCCTACGATTGTTTTACATGTATCCATCTCTGTCGCACTCTAAAACGTCGTCGAAAATACTGAAATATTTGTTTCCGATTGAGTTCATTTGAATGTAAAACAGGCTCCTAATGTTCTTGAGATGCGTGCTTTTGTTTGAAATGGTATGTTAGGTTTCATAGTCCTCTACCTCACGATAACAAAGCAAAAACAGTCGAAAACATTACATTTTCCCTATAGTTCACTCCTCAAGGTCGTTAATTAAGGTGGTCACAGTCATAGAGATTATAGATAACACTAGAGAAGGCGTTGGTATAAAAAATATCAGTTGAAAGAGGGCACACGATAATTGGGGTAAATTCAAGTCCCGGATGCTAAGGCAAGCGCTGATTGGCTAGATCAATGCCTCCAACAACTAAAATTTGTATTAAAAATTATTGTAATAAAAATTATATAGCGGTTTTTTAAGGAAAAACAGTGATTTTTGGAACTGGTTTTACTACCTTTGACATTCTGAAATGATATTTTGGGAAAAAAAACCATTTAGAAATGAAAAAAAAACTCGTGAAAAACGATTTATTTTGGTCTCGGACATCGTGAATGAGTGAGCATCCGGGACTTGATTTGCCCCCCCCCCCCATTAACGCGCTCCCCAATTTCTCTTCAATGCCCCCTCTAGTGTTATTTATAATCTCTATGGTCACAGTAAGATGGCGGCCGCACGCTACTTCTGGCTTCAATATTTTATATCTATGGTTGCTCTCTCCATTGTATTATTGCTCAGTACGACGACCGGATAAGTTCAGAAGCCTCTAATTTGGGTACCCTCGAACGGTGCATCTTGTTAAGGGAAATGTTTGCAATTGCTTATATAGACTCCACAGTCAACTGAATTAGTTTGTGGCACAGCCGGGCACAACAGGCTGTGTATAAGCACGTCATTTTTTTCTTCTTTATTTTTCGGAAATACATGAGCTCAGCTATTTGCATCTTGGTAAAAAGTGTTAAAGCACTATATAGGTTGTTATGAACTTTAATGGTGCCGTGGACACGGCCAATATTAGTAACGCATATCCAGTTCATTTACCCAGTGTATCATATCTGTATAGAAATGGCTTGTTGTGCATCACATTGTCATTGACCTGGCAAATTGGACTAAATGTGGTAGACATAAACTGCTTTTGGCATACCTAATTTTAGTGTGCAATGATAGCCAATTTGTGCAGTGATAAAAGTAGAATGTGCAGTGATAAAATGAGAAATGTGCAGTGATAAATAGTATTTTCTCAACAGCCTTCCTCAAAATGCTGGAAATGAAGTCATAGGGACTCAAAAATACAGAAAGTTTATACCTTCGCTTGTGAAAAATATGCATGCTTTTCAACTTTCAAAATTAAAAATATAGAAGCAATTATGTTTCAAAAATAAGTTAATAGGATGCATTGAATTAGCGAGATTGGTGAACTAGGTTTGAAGATTATTCGTACAAAGTCAAAGGTGAATAATCCCCGAGCCGGTGCGAGGGTACTAATTCTGCCCGGAGATTATGAATTGCACCCGGAACCCAGGAGAACATAGCGAATTCTGAAGTTGTACAAAATGTCCTGCAGCTTGGACGTTCAATGGTGATGGTACTTGCAAGTATGCGCAAAATTCGAACGAATAAAGGTTGGTAATCAGCAACCAGCTGATTGGCTAAGACAAAAAGTATTTCACTTTGGAAACGATTTTTTTAAAAAAAATTTTCGTAAACACGATATGAAATGTGGAATCAAACAAAATGATATAAACACTCGGATAGCGGTGAAAAAGAAGGACTTGTAGTTTATCCAAGTTATTAGGATATTAAAATATCCTAGGCTACTAATTCCGCCCGGAGATTTTAATTACGCCCGGGAATGCAAATGCGAAATAAAAGTTGTCCGCCATTATATCATGGACGTTGGGCGTTTTGTAAGTTATGCGCACGCGTGAATATAGGACGAGTTAAAACTGGTAACTAGCAAACATTTACAAACGTGCGATTGCCTAAATTAAAATTTGGGTTCACGTCAGCATAACTGATATTTTGAATTATAAAACTTTTTAAATAATATTTTTCATTTGGATGGTCTTAAAAATATACGAAAAATTGACTCGTAAAATTGATTAAAATATAATGTAAAAGATGCCTTTGGATAGAAAAATTTTCATTCAAATGGATGGTAAAAAATCTACGATTTTGAAGCATTTTTAACGTGTTTTTGAGCAGGTATTAAAATGGGTAGAATTTGTATTTTTAAAGCATACAAGTATTTTGTAAGTTTAATATGTGGATTTATCAACAAATGTATCACACCTCTTTGAATTTATTCGTCAATTTCGTTAAAATGATTTTGATTTGGAAAGTATTTATTTTTAAAGGTGAATTTGTTTAAAAAGTAATTGAAATTTCGCTAAAAATTGTAGTATTTAAAACTAATCGTAGCACAATTATGATTATAGTCGAATTTGATAGCTCGCGAGAGTCGACTTTATAATTGTACCAAGATATAGGATTTTACTTTTACTTCGATCATTCAGCAGAAACGAGTATTACAGAATTTCAGTGATGGAAATATAAGTTTATTGCTTCAGGCGAGGGAACTTTGCATGCAATGTATTTCTAGTAATACTTGAAGTGGTAGGTGACTGTCTCTTTTGTTTATTTCGAATTGCTGTAAGATGCATGCGTTTTATTTTCATTGAGTTGTTTGAGTATGAGCTTGGTATGTCCGCGTTTTGCGATGAGCTAACCGATTATTTAAGGCTTTACATCTTCATTTTAACTTAAAAACGCCGGAGTTACTGAAAGTGTAATTCGTAGTTTTGATATAACAAAT